TTTGATGACCATACCTGTGTTTTCTTTATCTGCATGCTTCTTCTCATCTGATACCCTTCCCTTCATTCATACCACCATAACCTGAAAAGAAAACTTTGACCTCAACTAACAACTTTCACCCCTGAAATCCAACACCAACTTTGACCCTTGAACTCAAATACCAACTTTGACCCTTGACCTCATCCACCAACTTTAACCTTTGACCTCATCCACCAACTTTAACCTTTGACCTCATCCACCAACTTTGACCTTTGACCTCAACCACCATCTTTGACATTAGACCTCATACACTCACTTTGACCTTAACTGCCAACTTTGACCAGAACTTCCAAAGCTGTACATAGTAAAATACACCAAATCAAAAAGCAGAAATACGAACAAAAAAGCAGAAATCCAAACAGAAAAAAAAGAAATTAAAGCCATAAAGCAAACATCCAAATATTTGCTGAATGGTAGTGGAAACGTTTCTCAAAAAATCTTTCAATAGAAATTTGTCATAAGTGTGGAATTTAACACTGAGAAATACCATACTTAAACAAATATTGATTGTGAGATTTTTTTTGAGAAACATGGCCCAGAACTCGGTGACAGAAAGGCGACAGAAAGGTTAGTCAGCCTACTGATAGAAAGAAAGAAACATTTTTTCAAGGATAACAGCTTAGGTTTACAAGATCCTGTCTAACAGTTGTTCCTTGACCAAATTTCTTGGCAATGATTTTACTCAGATTATTCATACCCATTTACAGCTGAGTTGAATAGAATACTGAGGAAAGATGACATTCAAGCGTAAGGAGAAAGTCAATTCTAAAGGCACCAGTAAAAACCAGTCGCTGGAAGAAGAACTAATAATGCAGAAACACCAAATCAATGCAGAAACACCCAATCAATGCAGAAATACCAAGTAAATGCAGAAAACCCAAATCAATGCAGAAACACCATCTTCTTGTGAGCTCTTCAGCTGAAATAAGAAAGGAATTATGTAAATAAGCCATAGCTCAAATATTCATCTAGTCAACGCAACGCAACTTGTTTTTTTTAAAGAAATACTACCTCACAGAATAAATGCATTGGTAATTATTACTCTACGTAATTATTGAACAACATTCATAAATTTTCCTACGGTATCTTGCTAATTTCACTTTTTTAGATTCCAACTTTGAAGCGTCAACATCTGAACGAAAACCAGAATTTCTTGACACACTTTCGCAATTTTGAAAGAGATTAGAACCCACTTTCATGCTATTTGGGGCAACTCAGAAAGAAGCACGGAGTTAGAAAAACCAGGTTGCATCTATTTTCAAGACCTAAACTTTCACCCGACTGATGAATACATACGCTTATAGGCTAGATTTGAGAATCTAAATTTAATGTTCATTCTAAAAGGTAATATTCCTTGGAAACTATGTCATTACTGATATGCAAATGCGAGCAGAGCCTTGAATGAGTTAAATGCAAGTTTTTCATTTTGGAAAATGCCAACCAATCGTATAACCGTAATTCAGTTGTAGAAGAAGCAAGTCAGATTTTCACAAAACGCAAGGCAAATATTATGGAATTAGCACATTTCGTAGATAAACTAATTTAACACAATTTAAATGTGCCATCATCAGATGAAATAATGATGGAATAAAACATAACAAAATGTATAAATAATAACCATTTAAGTCTTCCCTATTGTTTTAACTCATTTATTTCCTAAATTGTAACTCACTTTGGATAATAGGCTTATGTTCTCTTATTTAGACTTCTCATTATTACTTTTATTACCCTTTACACTGTTAATTTCTCTATTATTGTTGGTTGTAACAATGTTTTGATAGGTTTTATTCCCGAATTATTTTATCTGATGACAACACATGTAACATGTGTTATGTGTTTAATTAGTTTTTTTTAAAGAAATATGTTTAGTCCATAGTATTGCCTTGTTTTTGTTATATGTATGCCTCATTTCTAAATGTCGTTCAAGTCTTATTTTCATTTTAAAAATTAAGATGACAATGTTCACTAAATCCCTTGTAACATACCCATGGCTTTTCATCTGTAGACTTGGTTCTTCTTATTGAGTACTCTTTGAAGGTCCCTCATTTCATCTGTTGATGTTTTCTTCAGCATTCTTCACTTGTTCTTCATACTTCTTTCTGTTCTTCATCTGTTCTGTAGGCGCCGCTTCAGTTCTTCATCTGTTCCTCTTCATCTGTGAATAGAAGGTCTGAAAAGTCATACAGGCCATGACCTCAGAACACTCCTATAGTGGCAGTGCTATTGCGGGTAGGTAAATTACCAGACGATTTACTCTTTCTAACCTGTAAATTTAAATACATAATTGCAAATAATTAGATGACAACCATTTTAAGTAATTTTTTAAAAACAAAAACAATGTGTGAGAGGCCATGAAATATATTTAAATTATAGACCACAATTTGGCGTCATTATTCTGTAGGGGATTGATTGGTTGTTTACTCATATAAACCCCATGTATATGTTTATTTTTTAACAAAAATATGATTCACAAAACTGTATCAGATAAGCAAAGTGTTGCAAGATTTTTCAAATTCAGTACATCAAAATGGTTTAAAATTTCAGATTAAATATTTCTAAAACAAACTTGCCTTGCGAGCTTCTGTGCCACACCATAAGCACTTAACTTCTGTATAATGAAGCTCTATCTGTTTACACCTAAAGTTAAAAATATACAACTTAATTCTTTGATATGCAAGAAAAAAAATATTTCAACAAATACATAA